ATCACAGCCTTCATGCTGGACTTGTTGGTATCAACATCCAGGGTTTTTTTTTTTTTTTTTTTTTACATGGAAGTCATGCATTCCCTGTATCTGCCACCGTACCTGCTCCTTCCTTCTCAGGACCATTTGGAACTTACCCTTGGTTGTACCAGTCTCTAATTTAATGTGAGCCAGTTGCTGTCTGAGGATGTCCCCTACGTCTTTCAGAATATCAGGTTGCTTTTGCCAGGCCTCTGTTTTAGTCACTTTCATCCCGAATAGACCCACAGGACTGCACGTGTCATTGCTACTGTTGTAGTAAAGGAATGTATGTTGATCCACTTGGCCGTGAGCTTCATACCACCACTGTCTCCAAACAACAGTGATATTATAGGAAAGAGAGTGAGCATCTGTGGGGGAAGACATACAATGAGGTTTGAGATAAAGAGCAAGAAATCCAGAGACACCTTGTCCCTCAAGACTGTGACACCAAGAAAATCCCTCAGGAAGTTGGAGCTGGCAAAAAAAAATTAACCTTCTTTTTGGTCCTTCTGCACTAGTAAAGTGTAGATCTTCCTCCATGGTTTGAGGAGCAAGATAGGGCCCTGCCTGCCGGGAAAGCACCTATTCCTAGACCTGTTCCACCTGTTCTCTCTCTCAGGCAGATACCTGTATTCATAAGCACAGGATTTTGGCATGGAAATGCCAGGTTGCTATGTCAAGCAAAGTTCTGAGAAGGGCATTGCAGAGTGGACAGAATATGAAACATGTCTAGAGACATATCCAGTCCAATCTGCTCCATAGGAAGGCATAGAGGGCTGCTGCTTACCAAGCATACAAAGAATAGCCAGTGAATGAAGTGCTTCTGTTTTTGAAAGATCAATGAACTGAATACCTAGGGCTGGTGGTAGGAGATGGCAGTACAGTCCCAATAGAAAGACCCCAGGTAGAGTGCTTAGTCCATATGGACAATCGGGGACAATGGTTGATATAATACAAGGGTGGCTGTCGCCAGGGGCCTGGTCCCCAGAGGGCTCTGCCCAGGCTCATAGAAGCCAAGTTTTCTCAACACGTTATATTTGCCACAAACCCAGATATGGCTACATAAGAAGAGTTGAAGACAAATCCCAGAGATGGGTGACCAGGAGGCCAAGGCTCCATTCCCAGAAAAGCTGGCTCCTGTGCCAGGTTTCCAGAAGTGATCCACTGCTCATACAGACCCACAGTCCTTTCTCAAGTGGAGAGCAGGTTCACAGAAGAAGGAGTCTTCAACTCCTCCCCATCAATAAATGCTTCTTTCTGGCTCACTGCACTGCACTCATGCACTAAGGCTCCAGGGTCAGGCATGAACTTTCCAGAGGCTATCAGGAAGGGCAATACTGTAACAACTGCAGGCTTTCCAGGCTAGAGACTCTGCTCCTATAGCTTGGAAGTGGCCACAGGTAACCCATGAATGGCTGATGTGTCTGCCCCTGCCCACAGGGCCCTGTGACCCTGAGAGGTGTGTGCTGGGTAATCGTGCTGTGTGGAATTCGTGGCCATTGGTAAATGGACAGTCCCACCTGGTGTTCAGAA